GCGGACATTTCTCTGTTTTAGGCGGAAGAATAAAGACTAAAACACCTGCTCGGAGTGTAACTTAGAAGAAGAAAATGTTTATTTACATGAACAAAAAACAAGTAAAGGGATATAGACAAATATGAGAGAAAGAAAGGGAGAAGAAAATTCCTTTAACTTGGAGAAAAAAATGTGTTCATATAAAGGTTTGCTCAAAATATTTCTCTGAGTGCCTAAAAGTTCTTTAAGCAAGTAAATTGTTCTTAAGAGGTTAACATTCACATAGATTTCTTCAGAGCTCTCTTTGTTGAATAAACAGTCGGAAAGATCCGTAGTTTGTATTTGAGTGTGTTCGTAGGCCGACGACAGGAATTTCTAGGTCCAAGGAAGCAGATCTCGATTAGTTTTTCGTAGAGGGCCGACGTTCTGTCTTTCTTTCTTGAAAAAGGTTCCGGAGAATACTGGTTTTACTGTCGCCGACCAGATGTCATCACAGACGATGTCAAGTACTCACTGTCAAAGAGGTGCATATTCTTGATATTTATCGTGATTAGAAGGCTCAGAAATATCGGGAACTTTTCCCTCCAAAATTGCTATACACTTTCCGTGTTCTCTCATTCGTCAGAAAATATATTCTGTAGCGGACCCCCGAGCGACCCCCGTATCACAAGAGGGCGATGAGGTCACAAGAGGCCCGCTAACATTTTCGAAGACGTTAAATCTGACAAGGTGAAACAACATAGACGACAGAACGAGGATATATATGATATATGCTAATTTATTTTAGAAAGGAAAAAGAAATAAAGGTGGTCGAAAACGGTAGAGGTACAGAAGTTCCGGTGCAGGCATTGATGGTCGAGGTTGGCCCTTACAGGTGATCGCGGTTGGTCATGCAGGTGGTCGCTGCAGAGATAATCGCTTGGTCGTTGCCGCATTACAGATGATCGCTGCTAGTCATGTAGGAGGTCGCTGCTGGTCGCTGTAGTAGAAGTTGATGTTGGTCGTTGCCGGGATGATCGCTGTTGGTTGTTGAAGTTGATGTCGGTCGTGGCCGAGATGCCAACTTGACGTGTTGGGAAGGAAAGAAGAGCTGGCGTTGTTCGGGCATGTCAAAAGTCCAGTGCAGGCGTTACGTGTTGCCGGTCGAGTCCAATATTAATAACCTCCCGTAATAATTACTAACATAGTGTACGGGAAAGGTTAAGGACGACGTGCAGGCAGGCAGTAGGGACAGAATGCCGAGCGTCAAACAGGGCCAAGGAGCCAGGAGTAATAGGCGAAGGAGAGAGAGAGAAAAAGGAAAGTTTCCAACTATCGTCAAGTTGGCAGACAAAAAAAATGGGAGCGTAACTTAATACGCAGCCCGATGATCGACGTTCCTGGCCGCGAAGGCCAGGAGCCTGCGTATCCGACCGTTTCAGTCGCCGACCGGGATTTATTTTGTAAAAATACAAAATTTTGGCACAAGGCCGAAAAGGGGGTAAAAGGCTGGTCTTCACTAACTATCTTATACCTAGCTAATTTGATTCACGACCCATTCAGACATTACAATTTATTCATTCACCATAAGAACTCGTCCGTCACCAATCAATCCTCCATGCACCATAATACCACATCCACTCTAGGGAGACCTACAAAACGCGCCCCGTTCATAATGATCCTAACACATATGTACAAAAATTCTAAGATGCGAAAATGAGAGGTGGGGTGGGAGATGAACCCAATAACAAACTAAAATATTAACATAAATGAAATTAAACTTTAACTGATGTTAGTAGGGGCCCGTCCAACCCTCAAAAGGCAGGGAGACCACTGTATTCTGCCCAATGGACAAAATCAAGCAGCTCTCTCGCTAAGGGAGTGGGAAAGGTGATAAAAAAATCATACGGGCATGGGGAAGTATAAAGCTGACCCAGTCGAGATAGAAAGTGTGGGGGGGGGCAAAAACAAACTGGGGAGGTTGGGAATCTCAGGCTGGATCATAACTAAAGATGTGGTCGGGGGGCAAGCCGGGAACAACACTTATTCGCATTAACTAGGTACACCAAAGCTTGTCTAACCTAACCAAGGGGAGGGCACCACAAGAAGCCACCCCGATGTAGCGTAGGCTTGACCTAAAACAGAAAATCAAGACTAGCCCCGTACACACGAACCAAGCTCGCCTCAGTCACACACCTTTCGCTGAAGACTCGCAAATTTAGTGAGAAGCCACTATCTTGTGGTAAGGGAGACCAGCAAGAGAATTGGGTAACCTAAACAGTAAAGTCTCTATAAAAAATAAGTCGAGCTTAGCTAAAGGGAACTAAGGCCTAAAAATGTCTAGAAGTATATTACGACTAGGTTTGTAATATAAGTAAACTGAAAAGGGAACTTACTAGTCTCTACCACAGGTTAACAGTGTATAGGGAGCACAAACGAGAGGTCAAGGTCGAAATGACCTGTTCTCTTAGTTTAAGGATCGAAGGAGGAGGTAACTCCGACAATTCTTAGCTTTGATAAGAATCAAAGGTTTGGGAACTGGTTTTTGGAAGCAAAGGTCCGGCAAGGAGTAAGCGTTACACCTGACTTTATGGTACTATGGTCAGGATAAGGGCGGTCAAATTTCTTTTTATATCTTCCAGCACTTCCGTTCGTTAGAAAATAAGTATCAAAGGAGTTGCTTTTTGGAAGCAAGGGTCCGACAAGTTGTCAGTGTCCCACTCGCCACCGATGTTATAGCACCATGGTTAGAGCAATGGTGGTCAGATTCCTTTTTTTTCCAGCACTTTCGTTCATCAGAAAATATATTCTTATCTCTGATAGAGATCAATGCTTTGGGAGACGGATTTGAAAGTAGGGGGAAAAGTTGGGACAAAGACCAGAAAAGAGGCCAGAACGTGAACTTGTAGTAGTGGTTCTCAAATTAAATTCTAATAAAAGCAATGATCTCCCTAACGATACGTTTTAAGGTCACGGTCCTCACTGGGCAAATATGCATTCGTATTAACAAGTTGAGAAAAGAAGAAAACACACTGAATTCAGAAATAAAAATGAATATAGTCGTCATCTCCAAAAATAGTCAAATAATTTTGAACCAATGAAAAGCACTGAGTGGAAATAAGATTTTAAATCATATATCAAAAGAATTTACCGCCAATTTCAACGGCAAAAGTAAAACCATCACATGGCACCAACAGGATTTACAATCAATAAAACACCAAAAAATCTTTCATTTTCTTTTGTCCAATAAAAACTACTCAACACACCCACTGCAAATTCCAGCCTCGGCATACCGAAAGACGCCATGTTACCCGTATGCCAGACAAACCTTGCAGTAGAGCGGAGATATCGATCAAATTGTGTGTGTGTGTATGTGAGCTAGAGCTCCTAATTAATAAATCAATATCTTGAGAGAGGATAGTTTAAAAGTAAATGTGGTTGTACCAAATGTTCTTAGCAATATTTATCGGAAACTTTGGAAATAAAAGAATAGAATCCAAGGTATAAACAAATAATATATGTTTATTTATTTGATTTCGACTGGAGTAAATCCTTTTTAATTGGGCTTGGCGAAAGTCCGTTCAGCTCGGTAGTTGATGGTTTACAAGCGACAGCTTAACTTCCTCACGTGACACGCTGGGCTGGTTTCTCTGGCGGTCTCTTCTCTCTTTTCTGTCTTAAGTTAGATCTCTAGACTATTGGCACGAAGCTTGGTTTTGGCTAACATAAAAAATCTCATTGTTTTAAATTTTTTGATTAGGCAAAATTCTTTTATTTTCCACAGTTCCTTTCTATTTCAATTTTTTAAAGCGAGTTATGCGTGGAGCTTCACTTATTTTGCTAGGTTTCAAGTCAAAGTGTCTAGACCCTGTTAATATATGCAAATAAATGATATTTTGTTGGATATTATATGCGTGAATTGGTGATGAAAGAAGCAAGTTAAGAGCTCATTCTCCATTGCTAGCCACAATGCTGCATTTTTTTCTGCTTCAGGTAAATAGTCTGTTGCGGGTGACAAAGACAATGATATGCATGAAGGAAACATAGTGAAAGCGTTTGTGTAGAAGTAAGTGTAACGAGCGTGTGTTATAGATACATGTGTGTATATATGCATGTGTGTGAGAGAGTTCAAAAGTCAACACTAGGATCAAGGGTGGACGAAAAGGAGGCTTTCTCTTTCTCTTTCTCTTCCTCTCTTGTCGAACTAACTTTTTGTCTCCGGGCGGAGAGGAACCCAGAGAAGGCTATGGCGAAGGGCAGAGTCTCGTTTGGGAAGGTAGACAAACCCGACCCCATGTATATGGGGTCTACAGGCAAATTTTGCCCGTGTCTACGGGCTCGGAACGCCCCACGTTAAAAACTGGCCTTGTGCTACATCTTGCCTTGTGGGGAGGTTGTTAAATAGAGAGGACCAAGAGAAGCGAACGCGCCTCGGCGGTAGCGTTCTTCTTATCTACGTGAGACGTGCATCTTACCGTGTAAGAGGAAAATAGGGAAAAGAAGAGTAATAGAAAATAATACAGTCTATTTATATAGTCTTAGAAAGCGTCCTCTGGTAGCTGCTATATTTGCTAGGAAAGTTAGTAAACTTAACTCCACAAGCTTAATTAATTTCTTCAATCAATGGCGATTTTTAATTTAGTAAAAAACAGAGTTAAAAAAAGAAGAAAAACTAACTGCTTAATTTAAAAACAATAAGCCATGTTTAATTCAATAACTTTAATTGAAAGTATCTTATAATTGGTACATGAGTAAACTACGATTTTACTCAACTATTGACTATAATTTTTTTTCTTTAATTTTCTTGTTTTTTTACACAGTTATTTACAAAATTTTAAATCGTTTTTTTTCTGACAAGGGAATCTACTCACTTCTAAAACCAAATAAAAACTAAGAGTTACTTCGCTTACATCTTTTGGTTTCAATTCGGGGACTTAATTTTCCTTGTCACCGATTTGACACCGTTTGCATAAAAGTTTGTCAAAAAACAGAGGATACCCGATTGCGTGTATATAAGTATTATTTCTATATAGGAATATGACATGGATAATCCAGAGCTTACGGCCTACATGTTCTATACATTACTCTATGCTTTCTTCAGTGTGTGTGTCGTAGCCCCACCCAGTGAATTGGTGTCAGCGGGTCTCACGGTGCAAAACCTTTTCTCTTCTTATTTGGGTAGCCAGGAGCTTCATTTTATTCTTTATCATATGCGAAGAACATCGGTTACATTAGTTGTGCATTCACTCATACCTTTGGGTAAGAATATTCGTTATTTTCGCTCTCAAGTTATATAACCATTCTTATAAATGATTAAAAGCTAAAAAATAACTGTAAAAAACAAACACGCGGGTGGGTAAGTAATCAATAAATATTTGTGACGTGTGTAAAAAAAGTTAAATCGATTCTTTTTTTAAATCTCTTCACCACCATTTGTTTAGTTTAAGCAATAATTATTTTTAAAAGGGGTTAATCTTGGTACACTTTATTTCTTCAATTAAATTTGTAAAAATTTTTTTTAAGTATTTGTCTCTCCATAAGATTCTCCCTTGATGCTAAGTCAAAAAAAAAGTTTTGTTTATGTTTTGTAATTTGTTTTGTTTTTTATTCGTCTCTGCATTTTTGATTTCTTTATTTTTGGCTCAAATTCCTGATTGTTCATCGAATTGCCAATACAACCCATTACTCTATTCTTTCTCTACCTCGAAATATATGTGCTTTGTCCTGAAAATATCAATTATTTTCATATGATTTTAAAAAAAGAAAAAGTAGCCTACCTAAGACATTGGTGATTTAGTCCACTTCAGAAACTCCGACCTCGCTTGTGACCTTATAGATCATTATGAGTAAATCTAGCGACTCTTTAACTTTCAGAACAGTCAACAAAGTTCTTTAGTCGCGATCGCCATCATCTTTCTTTGTTAATTCTCTTTAATCTCGCTCACGGCGTATCAACAACGACTAAGAAAGAACAGTTTTCAGAGAATCAAATATACACTGTAGTGTAGGGTGTGGTGATAGGAGCTTAGAAATTTACTCACTCGGTCATTGTGAATATGATGATTACAAATTATACAAATTCAGTGGTGTCTCACTGACGCCTGAGTAACCTAATTGAAGAGCAGGACTTGAGATTAACGTCACCTCATCATCCATTTTGGGATGACTGGTTCCTTTTGGGACAATGCTAGAAAATTTTTAATTAAAATTCTTTTATACTTATTCTAAAAACAATTCAGTAATCTTTAACTTTCATGCCTACGAAAAAACAGTGTGTGAAAAGGACAGTTTTTCCCTTGACACCACTATTATTTTAACTACCTTAACTCCTCGACAATGTTTACTATTTTAAAAAGTGATGATTTGAATTTTAATAGAAGCTAAACACATGATGAAAGTGAGTTTATATATTTTCTTTGTTCTTGAGAATTGACAACAAAAATAATAAACACTATTTATTTATTAGATTGTTTATTTACACTTTATTTATATTGGAATGGTTGGCAAAACATTGGCCAATTGCCAATCAATTTGGACTTTCTAAAATGTTAAATAATAATGATTTCTTCATAGTTGTTTCACACATTTTAATAATTTAGTAAATGTTTATAAATTTATGAATAAAAAATTGTTTTCATATTTATTTCTTGGTAAATAATAAATATTGCATTTTATTAGGTTTAATACAATTTTATTAGTTTTTAGAATGTTGCAAATATAAAATTATTCTTGTATATAAATAATCTAATAAATAGTGTTTAATATTTTTGTTGTTAATTTCCATGGAAAATAATGTATAAATTCACTTTCATCATATGTTTAAGTTTTATTACAATTCTAATCATCACTTTTGAAAACATTAAACATTTTTGAGGAGTGAAGGTAGTTAAAATAATAGTGGTATCAAGGGAAAAAAATCAACCTAGCAGCATAAAATAAACTGAATTTCTCAACTGCCCCCGCAAATATCTATTCATGGCTGTCCTGGCTGGAAATACAAGTAAGGAAAAGCAGTGACCAATTGGTGGAATAGTAGCTGCACAGAGACAACAGATAAAGATTGAATGGATCAAAATAAATATTTATTTACTAAGCATGTTGATGGTGTTTATATTATGTTAAATATAAATGATAAAATGAAATTAAGAAACAACAGCTTGATTTCAAGACAGTTTAAAATTTTTTAGGGACAGTTATGAGACAATGGTGAAAAAATGTTAATCTTGAGCCTTACAGGAGGATGTTCATGAAGGAACAGTAAAGTAACTTACTTTGAAGACACATCATTTGTTTTCAAGATATTCAAAATTGCATGATATATTCCAGAGTTTGTAGACATTCTGCAACAAAATAAACTTTCTTCCATCTCAAATGTGGTTTGCCACTCATATTGAATTTTTAATATTCACAACAAATTCTGAAAGATGTCTGGTAAAAACTATTCAGAGTCGAAATTCATTGAATTATAATCTGCAGTTTCATAAGATGACAAATAAGTAAAAACAATTTACTTTCTTCTGATGTTTTTTCATCAAAGAATCTGAGGTCATCACACATAGTGATGGGTGACATCCATAAATGGCTATTTACATTTTTGGTGAACTGTCTATCCAGTCTTTATGTCCATACCCTATTGAAAGGTACAATTTAAAATCATTATAAAATGTATGACAGCGTTAGCCAAATTTCTATTACAAATCAGAACTTGTGGTATCCCCTTTAAAGAGTGTGGACATCTGGTTGTTAACCCTCAATATCAACAAGGGAATATACTTTGTCTAGAAACTCCATAGACAATTCCAAAATATGTTATGAAATTGGTGGATTGCATAATTCCTAATAAAAAATATTTGCTTTAGTCAATAGTTTGTCTTTCCTGGTTAATTTCTCAACAGCTTTGTAGCATGCACACTGAAAAGTGTTACACACATTACATTTTATATATGTGCATTATTTGAATTCTAGTCATCATTGTTGTTTTAGATGACATGATCTTTGGCCCTTGTCAAGTGTTATTTATATCTGGTGACCCTTTATCAAAGAGTAAAAGAAAAGGAAGAGAAATTTAGTTCAATATTTTTCTATAGTAATGTGAATAATTTTTATCTTGTGTCAGTTTTCTTGTTTGCAATCAACTGATGTACAATTAACAAATTCAGGGAATATATATAACTTGAGATAACTTAAAGAATTAATTTGACTGATTTTTTTTCACTTATTTTTAATGCATTCAAAACATTTATTGCTTTAACTCAGTATTTATGCCTGTTAATACTCTGCCAATCAAACACAAGCTTCATTATTCATTTGACTAAAGAGTTTTTAAGCAATCATATTTTGACAAATCATCTTCATGTTGGTCAAGAACTGATGAAATTTTGCTTCCAGAAAAATCAGAAGTCTGTGGTTTAATAGTTAACCTTTTTCTAGACAAAAGCAATTCTCTCACGTGAATGAAATTGTTTAAAAAAGCAATCATGCCCACATTTGCAAGAATTTTTTGGTTGAAACAGTAAAAATGAATTAATATATGTTTGAGCCAGAAATCAAGTGTCAAAAAGCTTCCTTCTAAGTTTCTGTTTCAAGATTTATTACAAATCCCCAAAACATAAAATCACTTTCCTTCATTAGACTTACTTTACTTATTATTAGAGATACATTTAGAGTATCTGAAATAATTTAGTCAATTCACAGTTCCATCTTAAAGTGCAAAGGCTCTTAGGCAAAAAGTCAGGAAACCAAAAGTTGGGACAAGTCACTTTTGTTATAATAATGAGAACTGTTTGTCAAATCCATGTTGATACCTTTGTTTCTAACTAATCTGACAATCACACTTCAAGTATCAAAGAGTGTGTTCAAAAACTCATCCAGTAATTTTACTGCCACTTCAGCTTGGCAACATCATTTTCTTTCAAAGATAATAAAATAAAACACTAAAGCCTCCACAGAACAATAAAAATTATAAAAGAAAACAATTGTCTAGTGTGGATAAAAATCCAAAATCAAAGAATTTGTAGTTATGGCAACTCATTGGTTATATGATAACAAAAATAAAGTCTTTTAATTTTGAATTTGTCTTTTGCTTGGCAGTGATGCATTCCAAGTGCAATTTAATTGCTCTTAGAATGTGTCACTGTCAAGGGTCAAATTTTACATCAACTGTTACAAGTTGTGTCTTAACATGTGCATCTATTATATTTGCAGTATGTGCGCTTGTCTGTCTATAAGTTTTTTGAAGTAAATGAAAAAGACAAGCAAACTGAATTCATAAACATCAGTAGTTATATTTACAACAGGAGCAGGGATGTTCCACCTATTTCCCAAAATCTGACCAAATGTCAGCTTTTTCTTTCTTTTTTGGAAAGGGTTTTTTGCTTGGGGTAGGAACTTTTCAGCACTCCTTTCTTTACATTTATTGATAAAAGTGCTACAAATATTCAGTTTTAAATGAACTTAGTTGAAATTTATGAAAGTGATGAATTTTTAGTTTTAACTTTGATATCAGCTTTCTTACATTTTCTGGTTTCCTGAATTATGAATTGATTTGAAGCCAGTTTGAAATTAAGCAGGCAAGGAGGAGGGTGCTCATTGAAAGGGGCCTCACACCCCAAGGCCCCCACTGTGCAAGTATGGAGAAGAGAGGAATATCAAACAAGGAAAGGGATTTATAGCCTTATCCCATTGAAACACTGATTCTTGTACAATAACTGAAGTTAAGCAACATCAAGTCTGGTCAGTACTTAGATGGGTGACCATTTGGGAATGTTAGGTGCTCTAAGCTTCGATGTGCTGCTGGTCTAATGGATAAGGGCTCAGAATCGGAAATTGGAGAACCAAATTTCAATTCTAGTCAGGTTCATTATATTCACTTACATGCAAATATTCTTGGGAAAAGTTATGAATTCACCTCCTCTTCCCCAGCTATGGGTTAACTAGTAAGACTTGTATCAGTAAAATCATTATTATATCCCCAAAATTCTTCCAATCTAAAAACATCTTCTGATTTTAAATATCCTGCAAAAGCTGATAAGCTGTAAAAACAATCAAACAAGGAAAGTATAGAATAAATTAAAAAGAGGTGCCATGAAAGATTAATTGAAATTACTGAAGATTAACCAGCAGTTACCAATGCCAGTGAATATAATTGAAGCACAGAAAGATAATGAACTGTTGAAGTCTCAAATTCTTTAAAAACAAAAGCATGTAGAGAAGTAAAACAAAATTTTGAAGTTTCAGCCATGGCAGAAAGGAAAGCATTTTGAAGGAAAACTAGCAGACTACTTTAAAATATTTTGTCACATTGTGCCAACATCCTGACCCAAACATCAGCATAAATATTTCTTGGTGTAACATTAAGTTTTCTCTTGACGAGAATTGGTTCACAAGGAAGGTTGTTAAATGCTAATACTCCTATGAATAAAAGATAGAGGGGGAAAATTCCAAGAGGATTTACTGCAACTGAAATATCTGTTTAACAAAAGACTTCAAGTCTTCATGGTACCAGAAACAGAACAATACTTTCGAAGGTAGCCAATATTCACTGTGTTGCCCTTTATGGAATCTAATGTATTGTATATGATAAAGTCTGTGAAGGAAGCTGACATGTCAGTTGGAACATTTGTGGCAAAAAGTCAATTTAATCAAATCTGTTCTTATAGATAATGTGTATCTGCACACTCCAGTATTCACAAATTTCTATCAAAGTATTTGAAAGACGTTACAACTCTTCGTATGGCCTCAGGTTATGCTCCATTGTTGCCATTCAAATGCATACAGGTCATCTTAACATTTGCAGTCATTGTGATTATCCATGTACATTGATTCAGTGTTTTTTTTTTAATGTTTTGCAAAAAGATGAAAGAAATGGAAATGTCTATTGCTTGCCAATGAAAAATCAATGCCTTTTTCTTTTCCTCTTCTTTCTACAGGTTATTACATTGGTTTTGGGTGCTGCCTTCAGGAAAACCATCTTTTTGAATGGGAATATCTACAGACTGAATGGAAAATCTATCTCTCTCTTGCTTTTCTTTGTCCAATCACAACTATCACCATCTTCTACTGCTGGTCTCTGAACAATTGGGAACAACACCCCATTGCTAAACATCTCAGCTATATTGCATCCGAAGGTACTACTTGGCGTGATGTAGCAGATTCCATCAATCAAGAATTCCGTCGGGTTGACAAGTTCACGTCTGGTCCTCATAGTCGACAAGTAATCATCACTGATTCTTGGGTGATGAAGACATCCACTTATCACGTCTATGTGGCTCACCAGAATGATATTGACCTCACCCTCTCTGGTACAGAGGAACACGATTTGTCCTATGAAACTTCTATATCAGCAGTTCAATACCTAAACATTACAGTCACTCCAATCAATCCAGCTATTAAACCGTTCATCATTAGGTGAGGAAGACTTTTATACTTCAGTAAAAACTGTAGATTGAAAATATACAGTGTTCTCTTTAATCCTTCAGGTGCTGAAATGTTTCTGAAGATTTTCAAAATCTTTAAGACTATAATTTTGAGTTTCTGCATGTTCTGTAACAGCCAGTTGTAACAAAGAAAAAAACTGAATGGATACTTGAAAATGTAGTTGTTTACAAGCTTTAAAGGGATGCTTGACAATACTAACGTAACATGGACTATATACTTGATAATTTTCAACTAAAGCAAAATAATTTTTTACAGTAGTTAGGTTAAATTAGTCAAATAGGTTATATAATTCGTACATATATGTGTACCTACATTTTGGTGTGCAACTAAAGTTTCACTGGATTACCAGCTCATCAGGCAAAAGGTCTGTGCTGTTAAAAGTTGAGAGTATCACTGTTATGTAGCGCAAAAAAAAAATTGCACAGAAGTGTGTTAAATGTGATGCTGGTGAGTTAGATAAAAAAGTAGAAAAATGTGAGAAGGTTAGAAAAAAAGTATAAGGAAAAATAATGATTCCAAATTTAAAATTAAAGACGCTACTTTCATGTAGCCATTATAACATTAGAGGTTAAGGGGGAGATTAAAAAATGAAAGAAAATAAAAGAAAAGTTTCAATATATTTTCAATAGAGCATCCAGCTGTACAAAACGAAGGAGTGATTCTACTACAGAACTCTAAACCATAAAAAAACTGACAGGCTTAGGAAACAGCTAATAAAATTTTTTAAGGATCATGGACTCCACATCACCGCTGTCATCAACATCAAAGTGATAAATTTCCTAGACACCACGTTTGACTTATCTAGGGAATTGTTCATGCCTTTTAATAAGGAACTCTACAATCATACATATATTAGTAAGGAATCCAACCATCCTCCATGTATACTCAATAATCTCCACAAATCTGTACAATATAGACTCTTCACCAACTCCAGCAATAAACACATCTTCGATACATACAAAACCAAATATGTAGATGCTTTACATATAAGCACACAATATTGATCTAAAGTACATCCCTAACACTAGTACGAATACTAAAAGTAAATCTAAGAATAGAAATCGCAACATTATTTGGTTCAACCCACCCTTCAATAGTAATGTTAACACTAACATGTGTACTAACCTGAGAAAGGATCTACCTAAGCAGTTCAGTCATATTCCCTTACTGAGAAAGCTCTTCAACAAGAACAACATTAAAGTTAGCTACAGCTGCACGAAAAACCTTGAACAATATTTAGCCCAGCATAATAATGTAATTTTTAATAAATACTTAAACAACACAAGTAGAAATGGTAGCCCTGATGATCAGACATGTAATTGTCACAACCATGATCCCTGCCCCATGAGTGGCAAATAAAGGAATTATATATAAGGCTAGCATCACACACAATGACCAGATCAAATTTTATTTTGGATCCACCACTATCAATTGGAAAAATCGATTTTAGCATCATAAAATGAGACTCAATAGCAAAAAAATATGCAAACACCACAGCACTCTCTAAGCTCTAGTGGAGTATTAAAACAGAAATTCATAGCACAAACCAAATCTTTTTCCGGTAGAAGTGGGGGATGATGCGATTTATGTCTATTAGAGAAAAAGATTTATACTCAAAAATATTAACCACTTAGGCCTATTTAATAAGCGAACTGAGCTAATGATCGCAAAAAAAAAAAAAGACTATATATTAAAATATTGGAAGCCTGACTGATTCTAATCCCTTCTTCCCTAAATTCTTATTTTATTAGGATATAGGTGCCATATCCCAGCTCTAACCTGTTTGTTACTACATGAAATCTATAACAAAACCCCTAGCATTTTTTCCACTACCTTTATTTACTCTTTTATCTAATCCCCTTATATTTATTTATTACTACCAATCATTTAATTTCCTTATAAATCCTTTTTCCACCACCTCACACTTCTTATATTTTCTTATGTCCTCACATGTATTTTTTTATCCCCATATATTATAATCGCTTTCCTTATGCTCATCCTCATTTCCACGTGTTTTTTTGTATTTCTTTCCTTATCATCTTTTTTTATTTTCTTTAATTTTAAATTTGTAATCATTATTTTTCCTTATACTTTTTTTCTAACCTTTTCATGTTTCTAATTTTTTGTCTAAAAAAAAAAAAAATCGTAACTTACCAGCATCACATTTAACTTCTGTGCAATTTTATTTTTTTACACTACATAGCAGTGACATTCCCATAAGCCATCTGTTTACTTTTAACAGCATAGACCTTGTGTCCAATGAGCTGGTAATCCAGTGAAACTTTAGTAGGTACATGTATATGTACCAATTAATATATCTTTGATCTGTATAACCACATCGAACACTATCATGTTTACACCTCATGTATGAATTTGACGATTATTCATTAGCTTTCCTGCATATGCACACCAGCACACGCGTATAGCGATTTTCCAAGCATAGCTCAGATGTGGCACAAGGCCAAAAGTATGGGCCACCCAGTGAGGATTGAACTCACTAAGTCGTAATTGTTCTAGCAAGACAAGCTTGCTAACCATTACACCACTTCGAGGTGTCTGAACCAGCACACGCATATGTTTGCTTATATCTAGCCATTTTGATTTTCATATATATATATATATATATATATATGTATGTGTGTGTGTGTGTGCTCTGTCAAGATAGTCTAGGTGTTGAGCACTTTAATTTACTGCAAAGGTAAGTGTTTGCCTTTTGGTCCTTTTTTTTTATTGTCTAAGGTTGTTTGGTCACACCAACATTGTTAGGTTTTTAGTTGTAGTATATATCCTAAATGATGCAAATTCTTTTCATTTTTGTATTTAATTGATTGCTGAAATATTTTCCTTATCAAATTTTTTGTCCCAAGAGAAAGTAATAAAAATATTTTCATAATTTTGTCAAAACTCAAATATACAAGAGCCCTTTATCTGATCTCACAAGCATGGATCTCTGCAAAAGTTTTCTTTTCAAATAGACCTGTGATCAAATCATGCTTCTATTACCAAATAAACCCAAATTAAGAAAAATATTTGGATATTGCTCTTTTCCTTAGAATATTATATACTTTCTCATTTTTTTTCTTTACAAGTGCAAAATCTTTGCAGTGAAATGTTTATTAATGGAACTTTTCCCCACCACAGGTTGAACTCAGTGGAATACGGAGAGTTGCGGGAGAAACTGACTGGCCCAATCCAAAATGTGCGCAATGTTGTCATTCGTCTCTCTCTAAGTGATCAATTCTTAGTAGCCTTCAGAGAAGAAGTAAAAAAGAATTTACCATTTATTTTGCCTCCAGGAATGGTAAGTGTTTTTTTTTTTTGTTTGTTTTATATATATATATATATATATATATATATATATATATATATATATATATATATATATATATATATATAATTGAATTCTGTTTTTGACTGATTAAATCATTTCATACTAACATTTTTATGAAATGCATAACCTTTAATATTCCTGTAACATACACAAAAAAGAAAAAAAAAAGAGCCTCCCCACCCCCCCTTTTTTTTTAAATGGTTGGAGAAATTTAAAAAAAAATAAAAATAAAAAAATTTTTAAGATTGTAGTTTAGCACAATTTACAAGATCTTAAACCCTTACTAAACTGAATGTCATAAAAATATTTATTGAACTTCCACTGATCAAGTATTTTTTTTAGTTAAACCTTTTCATACAGAAAATGGTAGATTTTAATCTTTTTTTCTTTCTTCTCAGGAAGTGGATACGTGTGTGGGCTGTATGCAAAAACAAGCTGATGTCAAATTGCAAAAGTTGTGTGCTGATGTGCAAGATGAACAATGCAGTCAATGCTACTGTCGGCCAATGTGGTGCCTTGATTGTATGGGCAAATGGTTTGCCAGCCGCCAAGATCAGCAGACCCCTCAAGTGTGGCTTAGTGGCAAAAGCCCCTGCCCAACCTGTCGACGGATGTTCTGTGTTCTTGATGTCTGTTATATTGCTGAGAGAGAAGCATCTTAAATATCACCCTTCACACCAGTTTCTCTTTTTCACACCAATCTCCTCCATCAAAATTATTTTGGCAAATAAGTTATTGGATTTGACCCCTTATATTATTACAAATAAAAACTGCTACATTGGTTTTGGTGGAGACAGTGAGAAGGGACATACCTCAATTTATTTTGTGTGATAAAGAGTGCCTCCAACCTATAGGATGAGAGTTTTTATACCCAAGTCAATATTTCTCTCTGATGTGAACTGTGCAAGAGTTAAGAAAAATACCAATTGACTTTATTTTCTTGTTATTCCATACTAAGCCAATGTTTCTTATTGTCATTTCATTAAACATTTTAATATTTTGGAAAGTTGTGCTTGATTTGTTCAATGTCTAAAATGCAGCTCTGTTTGTAAAATACAATATTTAACAAATAAATTTAACATTTCTTATTTGGTGTGTCCCCATTTCAGCTTGCACAATGAATAGGAAGATAAAAAATGATTTTGTTCAGGGAGAAAGATTCTTGGAAGAAAAAGAACAAAGTGAGAAAAAATAAAGTTATACAAAATTTATTTACATCATATATACATAAGTATTACAATGGTATCAGCTAGTCTGGGTAAAACGATTAAAATATTAACTTTAATGAGAAGGAAAAAGATGAAAGATGGAAGATGCAAAATATTTTCAGAAATGGTTGGACATTTCTAGATTAAAATTGTTGCACATTGTGGGTGGAAAACACAAAAGGTCGAGATGAGTGACTCTAGTGATCAGAGAGTGAGAAAAGGCTGCTGGAATGTTTCTAAAGATGTATGGAAGAAAAATCTTCAATGGAAACAAACAATGAAATGCTATGTAGACAAACAAAAAGAGTGGACGGGAACTAATCACATTGCTGTATAGAAACCTTTGGTTTTTCTTTATGTTAAATAGAATTGTGTAGTCAAGTCAATGAGAAAATACAATGAAAGAAAAAAAAAAAAACACACCATTCTGCCTGTTTTACTTAAAAGGCATTTGTGACATTCTTTAGAAATGTTCAGTTTTCATCTACTTAGTCTATGTCTATTTTGATTTCAATATTGAATTTACAAATTAAGAAAGAAACATGGCACAAGAAAAATTATCTTGTAATAAAAGTCAATTTCACATTTACAAGACAATGTATTTTGTGTAGTTAACTTGCATGTGCAATTGGAAATTCTTTACTGGAAAGAACTAATCTCATCCCATGTCAACCAAGTGACATTTCATTGTCCCCAAGAGCATTCAGCAATTACAATGATGGCTACAACCTGTAGGAATTGCTTATCCAAAACAAGATTTTTAAAGCCAAAGGAATGTTCTGCAAGAGTTTCTTTTGTTTCTATAGCCAACAGCAAAAAGAAAAAAAGTTTTACTTTAAACATCTGTCTAATGTGCTATCTTGTTTCTCTCATCTTAAAACTAATCTTCCTGCAGCTATGCTCACTGGCAATTTTATTAGAAGTGCAGGTCTCTCTCTCTCTCTCTCTCTCTCTCTCAATAGCAATGCAGGGAGCATCAGGAGAGAAGGGCATCCATTCTCTGGCAAACTGTGATCTTAATTCAATCAGGGCCACAGACAAAATCTGATCACCCACATGGAAATGAAAACATTTGCTTTGAATAAATCTATGCAATGGAAATATTACAGCCATGATTGAGGTACATCACTGTTCAAATACTATTGCAAAAATCACTTAAATAAATGGACAAAACCTTTAACAGGCAAAAAGACTGAATCCTACAAGTTTTTAAACCATCTTTCCTGAAAGAAATTTGAATAAGTAAAAATGAATGCTTAAATATTGTACCAACCAAGAGAGAGAAGAAAAAAAGATTCAATTGTTTCTCAATTTCAAACAGGTAAAAATATCACATTCTTATTGGAGAGTTAAAAAAGAAACTCCAAAATGATTGAAATTGGCTGGTGGTGTAATTATTAATGAAGATCTCATTTTGGACAGGATTAACCAGAAAGAGATCATCATCATCATCATCAAATAAATTGAAAAAAGAGCATACCCTTACTATTTGCAACAAAAACTAAAAGATGAGCCAACACAAAAATTCTCACACCACAAAGTTAGGGTTGGTCCAAGTTTGCTCAAGTTTTCAAAATTAAGAAGAAAAAAAAAAAAAAAATATCCACTTTTGAAAATAATTCTGCATGAAATGCAGAATGGATTTGAAAGAAAAGGATTGACTTTATCATTTTAAAGTCTACTGAAGAAATTCTTTAGTAGCTGAAGTGACGCGAGTCACTAATTTTTCTGATGAGGATTATGAGGATTATGATGATGACAATGACACCAGAACTGACAAAACCTGAAGTGAGGGCTGCTGGTGGTGGTGATAGTAATAATACTAACACTTGATTTTTCTTCATTAATGAATTTCTGTTTTGATATCAACTACTGCAGTGCTACAATCATCCTGATAAATCATTAGCATCAAACATGTCTTGGTCATATTTTTCTGCTCTGACCACACGTCCTCCAAAGTACCGGCCATTCAAGGAACTGATAGCCAACTCCACTTCTGAAAAAATTAAAAGTTAGAATGATCAGTCATCATCAGTATTTAAATACTTAACTTCATCATACTCAATAAACACAAAATGTTCAAATACCTGCTTGACGTTCAGAGCAAAGACAGTAACAAAAATCTAAAAGAGTATTACAAAGTTTAAAATAAAAATAATTTTACAAGTAGAAATTTTTCATCCTGTAATGTTTCAATTTATAAAACACATACAACTTGAGAATTTTATTTTAGGAAATGGATCAGACATCAAAACATTTTCATTATCCCTAATCTTTTCCCTAATGCCAAAAGCTAAAGAGCATGCATGAGGGCAGGCATCCACTAATATTACCAACTTGAGTTTATAAATGTTTTGTGGCTGTAACATTACAATCTGTTGCAAAAATACATTTAGACAAAAAGGCCAATAGACAAAACAGAAGCAAGAGAAAAATGTTAAATATTGGAATTTTCAGACATGCCTTTCTCAGTTAAAAATAATCAAGTTAGACTCTTTCTTGGGGGAAAAAAACAAAACAAAACAAAAAAAAAAAAAAAAAACATTTATAGAAGGTAGTATTGTGCATATATAGATTTGTTGTAAGGCTCATGAGCATTATTGGACAGCTAACCCTTATGTAAGGGTCAATAGAAGGGAATAGCAACAGCAATTTCTTGTTGAAAGTGACAGGGCTTGACCAGGCACCTGATGCAACTGACAAAGGAGAAATTGGCAGAGCTTAAATATAGCTCCAGAATTGAAACATTTTAACCAGCATGGGTGCCAAGACTCCTGATGCTAATTTAAATGCAATTAGCTTCTATGTAGGTTTAACACATTGAATAGAGAATACAGTATTATTTATGAGTTAGTCTATAGTTTTAATTTAGCTCGGAGTTAAGGCCACTGCCACACCCCATCTTTTAAAATGATTTCCCAACCTCTCCCCCATTCAGTGAGCGAGACTTCAGTGGATGTATGATTTTTGTACTCCTTAGTGTCTGTGTGAAGGATTTATTTTACGGATTAAATCTAGTACTTTTTCAAGTAGTTATCTGTCAAGGATTTTGGGAATTTCACAGCAATCTTTTTTGTGAAAATTATACTCACTGAGTATGCCTAAATTTCTATTTAAACCTAGAATATAGGAATTTATTTTAAAAATGAATTTTAACTCAAATTTTCAGCAATTCTGCTGGCAGCTTAATGAAAATGCTAAAATTATGCATCTAACATTATCAATACTATGGTCCAGTTGGTTGAAATATGCAGCTTGATAAGATAGATATTCTTATCTGATAGTTTTCATGTACTGAATTCTCTACCAGTTTTACCAATGTAATTTACTTTGTTACATTTATTACCACATATTAGATACATTTAAACTAGTCACAATTCAAGGGAGGAGGGATTACTATGTGTGTACTAGGTAGAAAACCATTCTAGTCAGATGTTACATGCCAAACAAATAGTTAACTCAAGGTTTGTGGTTGTTATCAGGTCAAAACCTTTCTCTCCACTTCACAGTGCAGGTTTCAGAGTAATTCTCAAGACTGAGCTCTAAGTCAGGAGCTGAAGCCCAAAATTGTGATTTCTTCCTGATCAAATTAAAGCATGTAAAATGTGCAATAACAGAACCAGGGCTAGAGATATGGTATCATTGAAAAGTCTGGGAGGTAGGGTGGGGGTGATTACTGTTTCCTGTTAGTGAATCAGCCACATTCATCCCTAGTTTCTATTCAGTGTCGACTTCCAGTTGTAACAGAAAATGCATATCACACTCATTTGTAATCAAGAGGCAAGGTAAAAAGCTTACAAAATTACAGAAAACTTTGTGATATTGCATCAAACTTACCTTCTTGCTTTGAGAACTCCACATAAATTTTCACTATGATCTCTGCATCTTCTTCTTCACTTTGTTTCTCTTGGTAGATAATGACTCTATTTACAGTGCCGAATTTGCCGCATTCATCTGTCACTTCAGTTTCTAATTCATCATCCAAATCTTCAGGACCAACCATATTTCGAAGAACCATCACTCGACACTAAAATAAATGTTGCATATATTAGTGCCATCAATACGAGAAGTACAAAATTTAAAAACTCTTCATTATTATTTAGAAGTAGAAGCAACAGTGTTAATTTAGTAAACAGTCCCTACAGTTTGACTAATGCAATGAGAAAAGAGTAGCTATAGATTTTACTCTGCCTGATAGCCTCTGTAAGAGAATTAAGATGACATATGTTAGATACGTGCACCTCAGGATATAGGAGGCAAATTCTCAAAATCTAGTTCTTTGCTTGCAATTAGGGATGTTTATAGTTATAAGAATCTAAACATTGTAACAAAAAAGGAACCATGGAAGATGAAAAGAAAAACTAAATTAAAGATCATTTCTCAAGAACAGTGACATCATTAAAAACGTTATTTTCTTTTAAACTCTTCAATTTTATACAAAATCTTGTCAAGTGCTTACATCTGATTTTCTCATCAGCTTCTGCATCACCATGTGACGAGCATTGCTGCCACTGATTTTCATGTTTTCCTGTTGATCCAATGTCTGTGACTGCTCCTCTTCCAGTGCCTTCTTTTGCAATGGGTCTAATCCTTTACCCAGGATTCCAAGAATTGCACTCTTGGCTTGTTCGCTAACACTTTTAGGCATACCAGCCAGTGAGACTCCAGCGCCCCCACCAATACCTGAAGCAATCAAAACAACTGTGTCATTGAAAAACACTTATTCAACCAACAAACGCCAACAATCAGATAATAAACAATACTTTTTCAAATTATTTTGGAAAAATATTTATAAAAATACAAAAAACAAAGGAAGGCAGGGAATAGAGAACAACACAATGTTGATGACCTAACTGTTGTCTTCAGTTATTTTTCAATTGATCACCATTTGCAGAATTAGATTTGAAAAAAAAAAAAAAAAAAAAAAAAAAAAAGTTTCCTTACCAGCAGCAGCCACAGCAGTGGCAGCTGCAGCAGCAGCTGAAGCTTGCATCTGTGTCTGAGCTGCTGTAAGTGGAGCAGCTGTAGGCATGGCAGGTGGAATATTAACAATTGGTTCAGTACCCAAAAGAGCAGGAGATGCTGGTGCCGCCACACCTGGCTGACTAACAACTGCTGCTGCTGCAGCGGCGGCGGCGGCAGCGGCAGCAGCTGCGGCCGGATTGACAACACCAGCAGATCCCATAGTTGGGCTGGCTGAACCTATCATGGGAGAAGCTGTAGCCGCAGCAGAAACTGGAGTGCCAACATTATTAGCACCAAGAGCAGTTGGCATTGCTAAACCAGGAGGAGCCTGCAAAAAAAAAAAAAAAAAAAAAAGTCTTATATGAAAACTGATAAAATTTGGTAAAAACATTTAGCATCATTTGTTTCCTTTCAATCATTGATTTATCTAGTAGACTATTTTGCTACATAAAAACTTTACTAAGAGCAAAAGCTGCGAACTTAACTAATACTAAATTGATTTCAGTAATTAAAACAAAATATTTTGCCAGCCTCTGAAAGATTCATGTCAAAATTAAGAAAATTAAACTATTAGTTACCAGAATTCAAAACAACTTTCATTTGATCAGAACTTGGATAACAGAAGCATTTATTACTCTTTGCCTTTGACAGGAAAAAAAGTACAGAACTTTTACCAATAAGGAAAACAGTTACAAATCCAGTTCAAGTTAGTGATTTGCGGGGAGTGGGGAAGCTCCTTTCTTCTTCATTTGAATTTGACAAAAAATAAATTCGTTTTACTCACCAAACTTGCACCCATTACTCCAACTGCCTGTTGCTGAGCATCCATTGCAGTGATTTTGGCGGTGACTGCAGCTGCTGCAACAGCCGCTGCTGTGGGCATGCTACTGGGGCCGGAAGGAGGCTGCAGAGCATTTGGTGGTGTCACGGCCTAAACAACAACAAGCATAAATTCACTTTTAGAGGATTCCAATTTTAAATTTTTATCTCATTTTCTTGAATTAGTTTTTATTTATTTTTTTTAAATTTAAAAAAATTAAGAGTGAAAGTTAAGAGTTACTGTTGCTATGAATGATATCGTGTAATAACTGGAAATGTTTAAAATTTAAGTTTCAAAATAAAGATATTTATCATCACCTTGCCAACACGCAGGTACTGCCCACCCAAATCAAACAGGTTCATCGAGGAAACAGCATCTTCAGAAGCTTGTGGAGTCTCGTATTCAATAAAGCCATAACTTCTGTAAAATAAGATATCATATATTGAAGTAAAAATATTCATACAGCTGTAAAAAATTCAGCTTTTTATTTTTCAAATGCAAGGAGATTTGAATTTAAAATTAATCCTTTAAAGCCCCATCTTCTATCATTTTAAACTGTTCCACTAAAGAGGAATTTGCAGAGGACAATTAAGCATACTCGAACAGAATTAAATGCATAATTGGGGTTTTTCCAGAAATAAAAAAAAGCATGGTAAGCATTTATAGTTCTAGTCATCCACTCTCTCCCCTTTTCTTACAGATTAAAAACAGATTCAAAAAAAAAAAAAAAAAAAAAAATGACATACTTATGTTTCCCAGGTTTGGCTGGGTCTTGGGATAATTTGCAGGTCACAATTTTACCAAATGCTTCAAAGACACTGAAAATAAATCAAAGAACTTAAATGTAGAAATCTAATAATAAATTCAAAATGATGACTTCATAGAAATGGTCTACAGTCTATTAGCAAATATTTGGTAAAATGAATCTTAAAAGACTAAAGTTAGATTTTTAATCCAAAATCATCTGAGTCAAAAGTCTAGCTAGAAACAAGTCTTCTTTTCAATTTGGTATAAAAACATCCAAGATTATAACTAAGGATTTAACATAAAATCATTATGATAACATAGAAAAGAATTTTTTTTAAATTCATATTGACTGTAAATAGGTGTTCAGTTAACAATTGTCAACAATAAGTGAAGCTATCAAGATAAAAAAAAAAATTGCAAAGAGAAGACAATCACTGGTTTTGCAGGTATTCAAAAGAAAGCTAATGCATGATATCAATTATTCTCTTACGAAGGGAAGCAAGGTTTCAAACTGGAACTAGCTGAGAATCTCTTCAAAAATCTTTCAAGTCACTTTCAGAAAGAACTAAATTGACCAGTTGCCATAAATTATTGCTCAGCATACAAAACACTAAAAATCATTTAAACATGATGGAAAAGATCTCGACACCTTTCCCAAGGGTATTAGCACGTAATTGAATGTAATAGATTTGACTGGAATTCAAACTTGACTCTCCAATTCCTTAATCTGAGTCATTATCCATTTCTTCACCATGCCTCCTATATTATTTTATTAATTGATACTTTTTTAACTAGTGGTGTTGGACTTACCTCTGAATATCCATTTCTGTGAGATCCTGATGAATGGATGCAATATAAATACGATTAAAGTTCTTGGCTTCTTGAGCCAGTTGCTCAATGATGGGCTGTGCCTGGGGCATGTTGCTGGGTCGGCCCACCTACAAATAATTGATGCCTCAATATACAGGAAATAAAAAAAAAAACTCAAATTAAACTAATTTTATCAATAAGAGAATTTGTAGCATTTGATGTCATGTCTGATTCCATGGAAAAAGTTTCTTAGCCTAAGATTTGCCAAGTTTCGGTTAAATGAGGAATGAGGCCATGTGGACTTTAAAAAAAGTACAAAACAATTATCATATAAAAAGACTAAAGTAATTTTTCCAGGAAACTTATTGGAAACATTTTTTTAATAGCACAATCTCTCAAATTTGACCTTCAATTTCTGAATGTGAAAATAAATGGTTAATCAAAAGCAAATTGCAACAAAGAATCTGACATTTTATTAGATACAAATGTAGTAAATCTTTCATGTTTAAGGAGTAATTTTTGACTGTGCAATAAAAGATTTCATAATAACTACAAAGTAATAACTGATGTTGAAATGTTATTTACTAAAAATGGGATTATCAAACTTGATTTATTAAAAAATAAATACCAGAAAGAGAAAATATACAAGTATTGCTGCAGTGAAAGAAGAGCCAGGCAAAAATTAAACAGGAATGCTTACCAAGATTTTTGGAAAGACATCAAGCACTTTTGTAAAATCAGACTTTAAAGAAAAAATGATAGCAACTTACTTTGATGTTCCGTCCTCCAATCATCACTCCATTCATCTGCTCTAATGCCAACTGAGCAGCCTCTGGAACTTCATACTCAATAAATGCAAATCCTTTGTGCTTATTGGTAACAGGGTCCCACGACAGGTTTACGCTCTTGATGGGTCCAAATGGCAAAAATGCTTGTTTGATAGTATCCTCTTTGATTTCAAAGTTGATACTGCCAACGTAAATCCTAAAAATAAAAAAAAAATAAAAAAACAAAAACAAATATGAATAAATGGAGTAATAATGAAATTTTCAATAACTTTATTCACTATTTTTAAAACACTAAAATTATGACAAAATTCTTTTTTAAAAACTTGTACAAAGTTATCTTTTGTCTATGTAATATATCTTCACATTCTGGAAAAGCAAAATCCCAAAAGAAAATTCAAGCAAAACTAATACCTTACAACTGTCAATTCTAAAATTCTTATAGAAAATAGGCTTATACTAATAGTTTTATAGAAACTACCAAACACAGACAATTAAAAAAACATTGTTACCTGCACATAAGAGCTAAAGCCTGTTGTCTCTGAATTGTATTTTGGAAGTTAGCCATTTGCTGTAATAAAATGAAAACATTTTTAAGATAGAAGAGAGTTTTCATAAAATAAAAAAAATCAGAACAATAGTTAAGGGATTAAAAACATGGAAAAATTAGTCCAGTAACATGCTAAAAGACATGAAATGTGAGTATGTAAAGATAATGGTAAGTGGTGCCACCAAATGTTGACTTTATGAAAATGCCCAGAGCTATATCAGATCTTCTTGGACAACCAATGAATCAGTGTTAACACTAAATTAGGCTGTTCATGACAAAAGCAACATGAATTATTAGAATGCAAACAGGACATGATAGTGGGTGTCAAGTGGAGAAATTTTATTTCTGAAATTGTGAGGATATTAGACATCCCTCAACATGTTGTCATTTCTTCACCAGGAACAGCTCAGTAGCCGATCATGAGTCCTTACTAATCATGACCAGAAGCATCAAGCAGAAAACCCAGAGTGCACTTATTAACACCACAATACTAGATTCAGTACCTCACCTTGGTTCATTACTTTACTAATTGGACCCGAGAGGACTGGGAAAACTTGGCATGGTCCAATGAATCATGGTTTGAATGTGGATAGAGCCCCACCCCCATGAGGTTATTGAACTCAAGTTGTCAACTATGCACCATGCATAATAGTGTGATATGTGTTCATGTTTAGTCAGATTAGAGACCACTATTTTGCATTTCCTTTGTCATCATTTACACACATTCATGGATTATTCCAATATGATAATGCACTGAGCCATCAGTGCAATTCAGAAAGAAAAGTTTATAAATACTGTTTGAAAAATGAAAAATTAACCATTTTCTAATAAAATAGAATAAAAAATTTAATTTTCAGAAAACAGTTTTAATTTATTATCTTTTCTTGCAACATGGTGTGTATAAACCAACAAAAACCTTGACTACATTTTTCTTATCAGTCAGGCTGCTCTCTCCTACAGGGTGCGATGGATAAATGGTCATCTAAATTACGCAAAAAAAATTAAAATAACACTGACATCTCATTTTAACATATATATTTACCAAAATTACACAAAAATATCAAAAAATACTAATAATTCTTAATACTCTTAAATGTTCGTATTGGAGCTTCTGGTGTGAATGCCAAGCAGTACAACATGCAGTTTCCAAATTTCTGGCAGAGTGAATGGTGCACTTTTACTCACAGATGGTGCCCAACTGACCCTATTATACTGTGCAGTAGACAAAGTCAAAAATAAATGTGCCAACACAAAATTAAAAATATAAAATAGCGACAATTTACTCATCACACCCTGTACAAATCTATCCATCTCTACAAGACATTGGGATACTTCTTTTTCTCCCCAATTGTGAATAGCTCTCTGCCTGCCAATGAGCAGCTCAGAACTGACAATTCTGATGTGTGGCCTAACTATACAGGCCCACAACCAGAACTCCCTACCTTCCAGCCAAGTGACACTGGATCCAGAAAGTTTTCACTTATTTGCTTCATTTCCTTTCTCTCTACTTGTCAGCACTTTGAAGTCCTCATATCTTGATATTACTGTTGGTGGTTGTAAAATCAGGTCAAGATAAAAATCATTTAATGCCCACTTTACTTTGTGCGTCCTCAAAGAGGGACCTATTGCATCACAAAGGCAGTATCTTCATTTTACAAATCAGCCTAAGCTACAATTATAAATAACGAATAAAATTATACTGCTCAGACATTCCTTTAACTGCCAAAAAGACAAAGAATATACATAAAGGGTTCATCAGTGAAACATTTGCAGATTTTGAGAAATCCAAACTGTAAACAGAAAATAAATGATAAATATTCATTAGGTTTTCCAAAAAATGACAAACTGCATAGAACTGGAAAATAAAAAACACACTGACTTCTCAGAGATTCTAATAAGCACAAGTAGGTTTGAGTTAAGACAAAAAGTAATGAGGTAAAAAGAATCATGTAAGTAAACAGAATGCTGAATACTGATGAAACCTGTTTGCAAATCAGCACCAATTTCTGTAACACTGTGAAGATAATAGAAATGGCCAATATAAATACTCTTTGAACAAACATGATTTGGCAGAATACAATATCAAACTTAAATATATTTTATTTTGTACAAAAAATGTAAGCAATTTTAGAAACTTGTTTAAAATGTGGAAAGAGTCATTTGTAGGATAATACCAAAGAGTCCCAAATAAAAAGTGAAAAATTCTGGCAATAAATAATACAGTCAATTCAAAGAGAAATGAATAAGAGTATAAAGACAGACTTGAGCAATACAGTGCTTTGGTAATCATACTGCTGGGCTTAGAAAATCTACAAAGTTTCTTCTCTGTAAGCATTTAAAAATTGAATTTTAAGTCAGTTTTTGAGATTTAGAATATTGTTTTGTCAGTGTATTTGTGAAAAACCAATTGTTTATTGCTCACCTGTTGTTGATGGGCAATAGTTTGACGCACCAACACACTCTTGATGCTTTGTTCCATGGCATACTTCTTGGCCTTCTGAATGGCTTCCTGCTGAGAGGTGGTCAGTTTAGGCAACAAAAATGGTCGTTGGTCTCTCTTGGCACCAGGTCCTTCAACAAGTGGGCCTACCTGCTCAGCCTGGGGAGCCTGCATCTCCTCAGTTAGATCTGTCACAGAACCAAAAGAACAGTCAAATAAACAGCCAACAAAGAGACAAACAAATAGAACCAAGAGATAAAAAGAGTCAGGAATGGAAAGGGGAAAAAATGGCACAGGGCAAAATGGAATCATGGTTATTTCTATCATCTGAGGCGCAAACATTGCCATTAACACAGGGATATGTTGCAGGAAAGGAACATTAGGTTTAGAACAATTATATCTGGATAGATTTTTTTTTTTAAAAAAGACATTGTTTTTCTTTCATTACTAACAGAGTCCTACACTAACAATATAATGATGTGCACCAGTAGAGATAGGCTGTCAGTATTAAAAAAAAAAAAAAAAAAATTTTTTTTTTTTTTTTTTTTACAATATATTCATGTGAAACAAGGATTACCACATCACAAGCACCGATCGACTGATTGCCTCCTGTATGGCCCTAACTTTGGGCACTGTAGTCACACCAAAAGCCCCATAAAACAGCTGGCCGTAAGGGTGGCACGAGCAATATTGAACTTCTTACTGATATATAAAAACACAAAAAAAGAGAGAAAAATAGCATTTAAGAACAACATAAAGAGAATAAACGCAGGTTCTTCTGGACAGCCAAAATATTTAACAGTAACAACTGTCAAAAGAAAGTCTGGCAATACTTGGACTTAAGTGAAATAGGAAAAAAAATTTTTTTTTTTTTTTAGCAAAATGTATGTGGAAAAAAAAAAAAAATAAATAAAATAAATAAAAAATAATTTATACTTTGAAATATTTTCATAAAAAAAAAAAAAAAAAAATTAAATTATGCTGCTAATAGATTAATAATGACATTTGAAAATTTATATCTTCTATATAAATAAAGCGCAGTGTATGTATGTCCATCTGTTCATATTTTTATCTCGGCAAATCATAAGCAACCCGAAGTAACAGGTAGTAACTATTGTAGTTACATGTGATTAAAAATTAAATAAAACTCATTTAAGGCTAAATTTAAATACTGAACAGAGTGAAAGGTTTAAAAAATAACTCTTTATTAAAGGTTTAACTTTAATTTCGCTTTTCATCGCAATTGCAATTGATATCGTTTAATTAAACTGTAATTAAAACTTAAGTGGGGCACAATACGTTGTTGTTTTTTTCCTTTTTCTAGCACACAGACTGTAACATATTTGAAATATTACATAGTTCGGGTTTCCTAATGTCTTAAGAATAACTTTATGTGAAGGGATCATAAAGAATGGTGATTTTAAAAGAAAATGAAAATTGCACACAAAATAAATCTAAATAAACTAGAGAATCAGTTGCATATATGAAGAAAGATAATGCCAAATTAAGTTGTCAAATAAAAGATAAAATTATTTTATTACTTCTAAATTCTTATAATTTTTACATACATAAGATGTTGAAGATAAAAGGCCAAAGGCCCAAAAGCCCAATGCCTAAAGCCTGCACGAAAGGTGGCTTCTAAGCTAGTTATTAATAAAGCTGAAATATATTTAATCCCAATAAACTTAAAATATTAAAGTCACTGAGTAAATTTAAGGATTTGTTTATAGGAACATTTTTTTTTTTTTTTAACATGGGAAGAATTGTACTAAGTAATGGCTGTTAAAATTTTGGCTAGTTTATATGGGGTGCTACCTAACTACTAGAACATCATCCCAAAATACCCACACTTTACGGATTACCAAAAGTACATAAACCAGGTAATCTGATGAGACATTACATCAGGAATAAGTAGAGCATCCCATAAATTAGCCAACACAATAGCCAGAATTTTAATCATACTACTCTGTAAAATTATTTCCTGATTTTTAAAAAAAATCTCATATTATTAACAGATTAAAAACATAGATATAAAAGGCAAATATATAGTTGGTTAGATATAAAGTCTTTGAATTAAAGTCTTTCCTCAACAGCTTCATTATCTATGGTCATTATGAGAATCATTTCTACATATTCAATCACACACACATGAAGGTGAATGCTGAAAATTTCTCAATCACAAAGATACTTTGACTACTATTGCTACTAGGTAGTGAAAATAAATTGTTGATCACAAAAAAATTGAAAATACTTATAAAAAAGAAAAGTAAAATGAAAATTTTAGATCCTCAGAAACTGCAGATTACTATGATTATGAAGGGATGCAGAAAAGATTTCAATCCCCAAATCTGACCAAACATCTGATTTTTGGCAGAGCCAAGAACTTTTCAGCACCTACTTGTGTGTGGATATATTCCATGTTTCAATTTTTGTTTTGCACATCTAAAATTGTCTTTGAAGAATGGATGCCATATTTATCACACTGAAAAGATAGAAAATTTAAAATGCTGAAGCTACTCTTAAACGTCCTTATAATTCTGTTATCTGTGCGTTGCTGGTACCCTCTTTCTTATATCTTTTACATTTCCAATTTGTTTGTACATTCCAGCCTAATCACTGCTGAGTTAATAAGATAGTGGAAAAGAATTATTTTTTCTACTTCCATTTTAGAAAAGTAATTTTCTGAAAAATTTTAAATGAAGACATTTTTCAAGCCAATATTGTATAAATGTGGCCCAAAGAATTGTGTTGAGTAATGTTGCTGGAGGGGGGAGGGGGTGCGAAAAAAAAAAAAAAAAAAAGAAGTGTTTTCTATAACAATGAACCCCCTATTAGCTACCTTAGTCAAAAGGGGCTACAAGATTTATCTGCAAAGGAAAGGAATAGGATTTAAATCAAAAAGAAGTTTCTAGGATATCTTATATGAGCACATATAGATTGCAAACATAGCTAATTAACAAATAGTGCATCACATCTTTCAAGATTTCAGCTGGACATCCAACATAAAAGGTCAGATGATGGCTTGGATTGCTAGAGCCAAGAATTTATTAATATATGTTCCACATTTTTTTTTTATATCTCATGTCTACTGTGGCATTCTTGCAAAAATTCCAAATATTTTGTTTCTAAATTAGGGAAAATAAACATACTTATTGTATACAGGTGAACATATATTTTGTTTTCTTAGAATTCTCATAGAAACTTACCAACGTATGTGTGTGTGTGTGTGTGTGTATATATATATATATATATATATATATAAATAAAAAATAAAGGAATAAAAGCCTTTGGTTTTGTTTTTTTTTCTTAGGCTAGTGAAAATTGGCTAAAGGAAAAAAAATGATTATTTTAACACTAGTGGAGTTGCAAAGAAAGAATCTATGGCCAGGTAAAATAATGATAGGGATCAGCAAGAAGGAGCCGATTCCAAGTCAACCAGGGTCCATATCCATTTCATCCATGTGGGCTGGAGATGGAAATGATTTAAGGACTAAAGCCACAACACAATGTCCAGGAGTGATACCAATTATTGTAGAATAGCATTGTTTCTGTCTTTTCTCTTTGGTCTCGGATAAAACAAGGAACCTCTTTCTCTCTCAAAATTTAATTTTCTGATAAAAAGGAAAAAAATAAAACAAAAATAAGATTATGATGAATACAAACTGATTGAAATGCTACAACAGACTGATTTCAAAATGATTGAAAAAGAAAAAAAAAAAGAAAAAAAAAATAGTAAAACCATAACATATTAGAGGCTGAGTGGAATCATACAAGTGTTTACACCAAGCAAGTTACAACTGAGATGATAAACAGAGTCCAGTGAATAAGAATCATCTCATTGAGTAGAAACCAAAGATGCCTACAAGAAAATTACAAGTATTTCAGTTATTCACTATAATGCCTGAATTTCAGATATCTTACAGTTATATATGTATATAAGAAAATATCATCTATAATGTTTAAACCTTCAATGAACTTTGATCAAGCATCTGAGTTGAACTTGAGCTAATTTATTTGGTAATCATTGTTTGTATGATGCCATAAAAATTCTGAATTTGTGAACACATGAGTAGGGTTCTGAAAAGGTCTTGGACTGACCTACTTCTCAAGCAGACTGAGAACTTTTCAGCACCTCCCTCATAAGTAACTGATGGTAAAAAAATTGGTAAATCTATCCAGATGAAGTGATTAGAAACAAGTTGTCATCAAATAGCTGAGATATAAAAGATTAAAAAATATGAGCATGCTACTAGTTTATATCTTAATATGTGGATCATATGTCAATCAAGTTGATTATCAAAAGAAAGCAATTTAGCAGGTGTCAGCTTTAAAATGATCCTAGTTTCAACTGAAGCAGAAGATTATTTAAAAATTACAGAACATTTTTGATAACCAAAAGAATTCTTTCAAAGTTCATTTGACTCAAGAAAAACAAAAATATTTCACTGACACTTTAGTCCTTTCAGCCTGAATATAAACATCCCAAGTTTCAAGTTGTGATCACTGACATTGTGAAGCCAACAAAAGTGAATTTTTCTTTTTGTCACAAATTAATAATTAAAAATGCACTTGGGAAAATGTGAGAAATATTCTGCAGGTTATCAGATTTTTATATAAATCCTGAAAGATAAAAAAAATAAGGTTTGAGCTGCAAGAAGCAGAACAACCCTGAGATAATGTAGTAATGATGGGTGTGAGAGATTTTACATAAATCAAAAAGAAGGAACAACACAACAAATAACGAAGGTGCTTTTATATATATATATATATATATATATATATATATATATATATATATGTGTGTATGTATGTATAAAAACCTTGTAGTTCTTAGAGTGTAGAAATGAATTATAAACAACAACAATAACAACAGTGATAAAAGAGACTAACTAAAGTGAATATCTGTAAAGAACTAGTTATTTAGAGAGTAATAGTCAAGAGTAGAATAGACATATTGTGGATAGATTGGGGGGGGGGTGAAGCATTGATGATAGGAAAAATTAGCTGATCACATAAATGGCATAGAAAGCAACATTTTGGGAATTGGTGAGGAGGAGTTATGAAAGATGGCAAAGTCACAGACATTAACAAAAAAATCAACTCAACAAACAATTCAACTTGGCACAATAAGTTGGTGTCAACTTAATAAAAAATAAGTAATCCAATAATTTAAAGATTATTTAACTAA